AAATGTCAGACAGGGAACTTATTGAGCGGCGCGCTGCTATACTCAGAAATTAGACGGTTCTATACACAAAGCTTGACGCTTCCATCCCTTCGTTCGTTTCTTTTTTGATACGCACTACTTTCGATGAAACTCTTCCATCGCCTTAGCAGTAGATTTCATGTGCATGCTGATGTAGTATAATCAGCTGATTGGCGGTCCATTTTTTCCCAACAACTATACCCAACCGATCTTGTTACCCTTCTTTCCGAAATTAGAATCAATGGACTATTGTCTACTCGAGGAGACTTTTCTTTCTATAACGATTCTATTCGAACGAATTCTATTTCTTTGAGGTAGATAGTCTCAAAAGATCAATCAGTTCTCTTCGTAAAGAATACTACGTGAAACACAAAGAATACTTTTTACAAAGCTTAACAATCAAAATATGAAGTGGCATTATCTACGCTCTTTTGTCATTGATCACGTACTTTATGGATGCCCTAGCGGTAGAAACTTACGGGTTTTGAGACGAAACGGCCATGGATCCGTTATCCATATCGCGATCTTTGCAGAGCTGCTGATCTTCTAAATGTGATCGTGGGGATTTAAATCAATGCTAATCAGAAGGAGATAGGTCTGGAAAAGGACACGCAAGCGACCTTCCCAGCCTAAGCTGAAATTCGCTTCTTGGGTTGCCTTTTTGAAGACATACGGACGTATGAGAATTTTCAACGTTTACATCATTAACATTTATTGCCCAAAAACTCGTAAAATCACTTTCTAACTTCTTCGTGGCTCAGTGTATTTTCATTTCAAGTCAACTTAACCATTTTCGTAGCCTTGAATGCATTTTTTTGCAAACACGAAACAGTCAGTTCCACAAACGGCATCCTTAACACGACAGCTTGTAGAAATTGAACGAGTCAGGTACCTTTCAGGTAGCAACCAATTTTAGCGGGAGACATATATTCGCACACCTAATCGATAGGTTTGTTTGACGCTCTGACAACAGTATTTAAAAAAACGGCACAACTTCATGAAAAATGTTCGTAAAATGTTTGAACATCAGAATTCGTCTGATACTGGCAGCTGCTGACGTAAGGTGGGGTAGAGCTTGCTTTATAGTTGCAAATATATTTATCAAAATAACAAATAAAATCAATCAATCAGTGGGTCACGGCTTACCGTCAAGTACCCTACCCTACCCTACAGATACCAATCTATCGGCATTTCGAAAAAAAAAAACGTTCTAATGGAAGTTGCCAAAAAAGTGATCCGATCCGATCCGATCCGATCCATTTTCAATGGCATTCGTCCTTGGACCAAAACGTATCTTTGTAACTAATTTCATTGAAATATCTCAACAATTGGAGATCGTAAGACTAACACAAGAAAACAAAGCACACAGATGGACCGAAGCACAGACAAGCTTAGATCGATTCCCGCATTTTTCGTTGTGCTATAAACATCGACACAAACTTAATACACCACCGTACCGCAAATGGTGTTGGGGTATAAAAATTGAGAAAATGAACTGATGAGCAATATTAGAAAAGAAACAATGCAAAGACTTTATTGCTTTACAAATAAAAATTTCCACAGAACTTGTTCTTATTTTCGTCATAAACTCGAAGTAAATAGAACGATATTCACCTGCGCAATTTTGTTGTCTATGCTGTTGTAACATTGAATTTGTTGAAAATTTGAACATTTGCCAAATAATTTGGCATTAAAACGTTTATGCCATATTTTCTTTGTTTTTTGTTTGTTTTTTTTTTTTCTTTTTCATTTTTACATTTTAATAACGTCACTAAATTACCAGCCAAGCATTCTCATGCCCAGATTAATCGTTCGTCATAGTCCGGCCCGACAAGATGCAAGGCGTGTAAAATTATTTATTATTAGACTTTAGTTGTCGTCTTAATTGTTTTCAAACATTATTATCATTAAGAGGAGAAGAAATGCTTTTTTCGGCTCGTGCATACAAACGATTGCTCTCAAAACAATCAAGAAAATTCTTAAGGATTTTTTGAAAACTTTTCGGCATAAAAAGATTATGAAAAGAAATTTTATAAGAAAAAAAAAAAAAAAAAAACTTGAAAAAGAGAACCTGTAGAGTTTATTTTTAAAAAATCCCGGAAGTTTAATTGGAAATAGGTTGTTTTAACAATAAAAAATAAAAAAAAAAAAAAAAAAAAAAAAAAAACATTTAAAAATCCTCTAGAATTTCATATATACAATATCCTTTACACTTCAACCAAACAACATTTCCTTGCATAAATATATAATGTATATGAAAAGGTCTAAAACACACAAAATAAACATTTTAAAAACCCGAAAAATAACGCAGATTAACTCTCGTCGCACATGTACAAGTTTCAATATGTCCGGTATACAAAAATTTATGTTTGTTATGTTTGTTCATAGCGAGGGAAAAAGAGGGATTGAGAGAGTGAGAGAGTAAGAAAGAGGAGAGGAGAAGTAACAAAAACCTAACACAAATAATAGAAAAACCCATAACAGCTATCAACAAAAACGTAACCAGCTTTAACAATAACAACAATACCCACAAGTATTTAAAAACTGAGCTAATATTGAAATATTTCCCTGAACAAGACCACGAAAACGTTAGCGTGGTATACCTACTCATCCTTACATATCTAAGATGTATAGCTATTTGAACAAGCAACATATAGGTCAATGGCTAAAGAGATAAGCCAGGCAGCCAGGCAACCAACCAACCATCCAACCAACTAACCAACCAACCAGTCAGTAGTACCGGCAATAAAATTTCAAAAACCTTTACAGCAGACCGGAAGAAAAAGAATGCTTTTCATGTTTTCTTGTTTTTTTTTTTTTGTTTTTATTTATTTTTATTTGTGTTCTTTTCATATTTATGTTTATATTTTGGCAATTTATGTAAGTTTCTAAAGAGAGATTATCCCCATTGAAAACGAAAGAGAGAGAGAGACTTGGCAAAGCCATAAAACATTAAAAAAAATTTACCGCCACCTTTTTTTTTTTTTTTTTTTTTGTTAGTGTTCTTTGGTGTACAACAGCAATGATCTATTGAGTTAAATAAAGACTTAAACAGGATATTAAAAGAGATTTTAAGTACAGTAAAGTTACCCATTAACATGATTTTTAAAAGAGGCAAACTGTAAGTTGAACGCGTTGCAGATGGTCGAGAGTCCAATTTAAATAAATAAAGTGAAACTTTTCTGAAAAATCGTTATTTTTATTTCATTCCATTACAAAAGACTTAAAAAAAAAAAAAAAACATTCATTTGAGCAAACATTCCACGCACTTTCTCTCTTCCTATCCATTACGCAGATAAATAAATTCAAATATGATTTTATCTGTTTTATTACTGTTCTAACAATTTTGGACTACTTGTCTTTTCCTCCCTGTCTTCTGATAGTCTGATAAGACTACGATCTAATAAAAGAGAGAGAGAGAGAGAGTCGATGTTACTACCGTTAGCAGTAAAAATGCTTACAAGTGAAAACCCCGGGATCCGTCTTATGGTCCTGAAGAGTAACCAATTATATCATTTCTTGAGCTCCCTCGGAGTAATTTGTTTCTTTCTGCTGCTGCTAAAATCCCGAGTCGATCCTTTGACAATTCTTGCATCATATCTCAAAAAGCTAGGCTTAGGTAATACGTTTGACATAACACATGGCACCTAACATGAACTGCAGGCAGTATTCGAGCTTTACTTGTCGCAATATGAATTGTAGACGCGTATTACTTGTAAGGATCAAGCATTAGCTTACTGGTTTTATTCTCCACACTTAGTTTTAAGTTGTTTTTACATATTGAGCCTACGTTAAATACATAGCCGACAAGTTATAAAGAAAACAACGTTGTGAAGTTAATAGGGTTACCACAGTTTTGTCATCATTTTTTTGGTTGGCAACGTAAATTTTTCGAAAACGAAATTGGATGGAAATTGCAATCCATCCGTCAAGCAGAGAGGACGAGGGATCACGGTGAGTGGTTGAGATTTTTAGGCTTCAGGGGACTATAAAGAGACAAATAGGCGTGGACGTCTGCATTACAACTATCCGATTCTAAATTAATAATTGCTAGAAGTAAAATCCCTTTGGTGTAAGAATCGGATTTAGATACAAGGCTACAAAGATTCACGAAAAAACGGGAAACTGGAATAATACGCAAGGAAATCTGTAGAGGCCAGAAGGTCGCTTTTCCATGCTACGTAGTAATGTATTGATAATATTGAACTGAGTGTATAACAAACACCCATATACGGTAGGGTAGAGAAGTATATTTTATAATGAATTGAGAAAAATGGAGACGTTGTATTCATTGGTCTACCATCCCGAAGAGAAGGGAAAGCCTGGCTAGTAATATATCAATGGAACGACGGCCTACCTGAGCACTTAACTCATTACGGCGAATATTAGGTCTTTACGTACTTCAAGACACCAAGTCAAATATCAGTCAAATATGAGGACGATTAAAATTGATGCTTCCCATTGCAAAAAAGGGGACGGAGTATTTTAAATGGAATATTTAGTATTTTCTTCTTGAAAAAATAGTTTCTAGTTTACTTTACACGAGGCGTTAGTTTAGTGATTAGTGTTGATTACGGTTCTATTGGATTTGGAAAATTCTTTGCGACGTCATCTTGTAATAAGTGGTGAAATCATTAGAGGTATGAAGATGTATTTTTCATTTAATAGAGTCCGCATCAGACGTTCTTAAGAAACTTTTCGAGAAATGTTTATAAAAAATTCATTTTCGCTCTGTTCACTCAGCAAGCTCTGAGTAAAGTAAAGTAAACTATGGAAAAAGTGTGCGCACCAAGAGATTTCTCATTTGATTTAAAAAAAAAAAAGATTCTTAAAACGTTTTTTCATTAAATTTTTTATTAAAAAAATTTTTTTTATATGTATCACTAAAGGACAGCTGTGTAATGACTTATCTTATTACTTATCTCATTTTGTTTGTGCTTTTATACAAAGTCTATTTATTTATTTTTTTTTTTTTTTTTCAGAAACTGAGAAGTAGCGTACAAGGAAAGAGAGTAAAATAAACTGTTGATCGGACACAGACTGTCTCTACAAAAAAGAGAAAAAAAATTTAGGGCGCATTAAAATCTAGTTATTTTTGATTGAAGCGAAATTTTGTTTTATTTCCTTTGCCTTTCAGTTCATTCGTCTGCTTAAGAATCCAGAACAGGCAAACGCTGAAATATGGTACGGAACTGACTTTGATATATATATATAATTTTAGGTTACATACACTGATTTTATTTATAAACGTAGGGCGAAGCCATTCTTAGATCGAGCGAATTTCGCGAATTATAGATTGTCTTCTAAAAGAGGCCGGTTGCTATCTATGTCTGAAGAAAAACTTTTCAACTCTGTAAACAGGAGTAAGGCCCTTAATCTTCAGTATTATGAAAATGCTAAAAATTCAATATTGAATCTGTGATAGATTTAAATAAATGTCTATCAAATCCATCCAAACTCCGTTCCTCCGCTACCCTCAAAATAATACATCCGATATAAGACGGGAGAGTGCTTGAAATTCGTCTTATAGTGGATATGACTTCTTTTACTTAATATTACTTATTAGCATTCTTATACCAGCTACTGAAAGATGGTGAGTATGTTCGTCTTATCAAAATGTCTGAAGCCTTCATAAGGAAACTTGCGAGATGCTTGAATAAATTCTCAATCAATCCTTTGTCCATGCGTCAGTCTACGTAATGTATGTGGAAAACTTTTCTTTCGTCGCAAAAATGACGAAGGGCCACGCCCACAATGCAAAAAAATTCATCTCTGCTTTCAAAAGCGAAAAATCCTAAATTTCTTGCTCATTAGTCATAAACTGCTGTAGATACAAAGATAAAAAATTTCCCCATGTAATGTATTCCCTCCTCCTAGGTGTTCCTAAAGCAATTGTATAAAATAGAAAAAGATCAACCATTTCCACGCCATATTACAGAATATTGAAATCTAATTTTTTCGAATATATTCAAGACTAAGCTGAGTATAGAAATTTCGGCTATAACCGAATATAATTTTCTTAGTTGTTTTAAATGAAAATGAAATGGAAACAAAAATTAAATGTTTAAAAACCATTAGAAGCAAAGTGAGAGCAAGAAAAAGGGCCTAAATAGTTACACTCGAGTTAAGGATCTAGCATAGTATATATGTACACGACGTACGTGCGTACACGTTTTGATATACTGGGTGCGGTAATTAGGTCAAGCAGCCCCTCTAGACTAATTATCATGAGCCGAAACATTATAAAATTGCGCATATATGTATACAAATGGCATAAAAAATAAATTTGCTGTTGTTGTTCACGATGATGATAGCGATGATGATGATGATGATGATGATGATGAGCAAAAAGATGAGTACGCTAAAACAGACAAATTAAGTCTACAGAAAACCGGAAAATTTTAAATACTTACTACAGGAAAACAACACACAAAAGGGAAACCAAGTTTTTGTTATACAAAAAAAAAAAAAAAAAAAAAAATTCAGAGATATTTTTTCCACGGGCATATATAAAATAGTAAAGGAAAGATTAAAGGATTTATAAAAAAAATTTATAGTTAAACAAAAAAGAAATTATCTTATAGAAATTATAACGAGGCTTTTAATATCAACCGCCTATATTGTTATGGTTAAATTTTAACAAGCAGTGTAAAATAGTGTAATTAAAGACTTTGAATTCTTCATCATATTCAAGGTAAAGACGCACTTGCGTTTGCTTTCCTTGAAATTCTGTCATGACATATGACAAAGTGTTCTGCTAAGGTCTACACAAATTATTCAAATTCTTTTAAATTAAATTTAAAATTACTCGTACCTAAGCTAGCGATATCTTATGGTCGTGGGAAATAAGGCAAATCGTCGCAATATATTACCCCTTTCGATAGGAAGTCGGCGGAAAGACAATTGCTCATCAGTTTTAGGGCCACTCTGCTTGAGGTCAAACGGTTTACGATTTTCTTTCACAAAATCAAAACTAAGCAACAAGGTAGACAGAGTCCAACGATCTCACCACGAATGTCTTATATATAGCACGAAAAACAACTGTTGTTGTTTTTTGACTTTTTAAATAATTTTTTCTTAAGATGGAGAAAGGCTTGCGTTTGACACAGCGGTCTATCCCGGATTTAAGGTAGTCCCCACAAGAATAATTGAACAAATCGTACAACCATATGTTTTTTCAAGGTGTTGCCATTTGCAAATTTATAATATATAATTAGTTGTTACAAAAGAATGCGAAAACAAACGAAAAATGAGTAAAAATTAATATCATAGTCGTTGGCACCGATCGTGCAGAGCTTAACCTGCATCTGTAAAATTATTTCTAAGTGAGCAGAGAGTCTCTTAAATCATCTTGTATTTGCTGTGATGGAATTCTACAAAAAAAAAAAAACCTTAGAAAAAAAAAAAATCTTAGAAAAAAAAGAAAATCCTAGTGAGAAAAAATATTCGTTTCGAAACTCTAACCTCAAACTAATTTGGTCTTGAATTGTCCGATTTGAATCAAATTAGATAAATACTTCTTCTATTAGCCTTGCGTAAGGATGCGGTAAATTACAAATGTTTGGCTATAGAAGGGCGAATCATTTTCACTGATAAAATAGTTTAGCTTGTAGTTTAGATATATTTCACGGCTGCTAAGGTCGATGCCATCGCTAACAACACAACAGTGCTGGTTCGGACACCCAACATGTACTCTCCGCGATTGAAGCATAATCTTCAATTCCTACTGCTAATATCCTCCCTGATTTACAGTTGATTAAAAAACAATTCTCAGAAATAGTAATGTTGTCCGAGTAGTAACGTTGTTGCAGAAATGTTTGCTTTGAAAAGAGTGAAAAGTCCGACCGAAGTTTAGTGAGTACGATGCTAGGGCCATTAAAGATATAAACGATTGTTTTCTCCTCTTGGGTTCATTTTCTGTCAGCTTCTTTATGTTGACGTTCGTAGTTGTGAGACGGCGAAAGGAACGAATCGAATCATATATAATTTCACGCACCATGTGTTCTTGTGCTCTCGCTGTATGCAACTTGCCCTACACTTTTTCAAAATTTTCAACGTTTCGAAGAAATTTTTTTTGAAACACAAAAGTGAAGAGAAATTCAATGTTGAGCTAATTTTTCAATTACGATAACCCACATAAACGCATATCGGAACAATGATTAATGAGAATCGCAGTGTTAAGTACGCGCAACGGTAAATTACAAGGAAATTTCAAGCGGTAATTTGCTCAACACGGCCAGTTTATAAAGAAAAGTAAAAGAGAGAGAGAGAGAGAAAAAGTAATATCTTCTAGAAAATATTAAATTCCGAGCGGCATACGCAGAGACAATTCATTCCACGTCTCCATGTTTCGAAATATCATAAATCGTGCGACAAAAATTAAGGTCCCGCCCATCTTGCCCCGCTCTTTGATGAAATTAAAAATTAGAGCAGAGAAAATATGAATTAATTATTATGTATGCACGTTCATACATACATATGTATGTATGTATGTTTGCTTCAAGCAAATACGATTGAGTAACATTTGTGCGATTAATAAATTGTTCTGCTGCTTATCAGCTTTTCCATTAGTAAGATAATTGTTATACAAAAATCCACGCAGACAGATATATATATATATATATATATATATATATATATATAATATATACATGGTATTAGGGACCATCTGCACTATTATGTGTACGAGTAAATAACATTTGCTTCACAATTTCTTATCGATCACACACTTAGAGGCTTTTAAAAAAATCACTTTTTTTTTTTTTTCGTATTCGATCACGCCTTTTACATTTACTGGCATAATGCCATGCCAGTCAACCGTCCGTCCCTAAGGGTAATTATATGCAACGGACATACAATTCAATTAATGTGTGTAAACGTGTGAAATATCGCGATTGCCTTTTTAAGCGATTTTAATATATGCAAATGCTTATCATTTAAAATCGTAAACTGAACGTAACTAACGTGTGTTATCAACTTCAACTGAACAATCACACAATCATCGGTCAATCAGATTTTAATGAAAGCAGCAATTTACGAAAAGAACAACAGAAAAAGAAAATGCGGGAAACAATAATTATTTTAGATTTATTTTTTTCCCTTTTTTTTTTCTCTCTTTATTCCCTCTGCATAAATATTCCCGTAGAAGTACTTAAGTATTTACGGTTTCCCATAACCATATATGATGACCGCATGAGCAGAGGCTAAAAGAGGTTAATATTGCGTTTATTTACGGTATTTATTTACAAATAAATAAAATGTATATTTTTCTGTTTTCTTTTATTATATCAATAGATAAGATAAGAAGTAAGGAGTGAGTGTGTGAAAAAAAACGACCTAATAAAGATTTAAATATATATATATATATATATATATAAATATATATATATATATATACAAATATATATATATGGGAAGTGTGTTTATTTTTTGAATAGTGTTGTATAGAGGGAATCTTTTGGCGAATATCAAGGTAAACTTTTTAGGTTTGATGGATACAAATATCATTAAAATCTGACAGAAATTTGATCACACGGTTCGATTTGTTACTTCACAGATTTAGAGCCTTTCCTCTGATAAAACTTTGGAAACAGTTCATGTATTATGTTTACTGGCTTCTGATTACATTAATCGTGCGAAAGAAAAAGTCTCCCACCATCGTATATCCTTCTTTTCTTACTTTTTCTCCCTGACTGTCACTGTGTTCATACACCTACAGAAAAAGCTGAGCCTGAGTTGCTACTCTTAAGTACATTTGCGTATATAACACATCAATCAATAAGTTCGTAGGATAAGATATAGACATTACCGAACCAATATGGCTTCTAAGTATTACCAAACTTCAGGCGAAATGGTTTACGAGTCAGAGGATGTCCCCTATACGTGCAAACACGACTGCGGTCAACAAGGATTATTAGTAAAGACAGATAAGTAAGAGGGAGTGAGTATGGCTTATGTACGGTTGACTTCAATGTGGAAACATCAAGCACGCTAGGCAAGACCACTGCTGTTACATTGTTGCGGAGGCGAGCAGTGTGATTGAAGAACGAAGAGTTGCGGTAGTGTGTCGTGCGATATGCAAGCAATTCCAGGACGAGTGGATAGAAACGCTGAGAAAGCTTTGTGGTTCTGGTAAAAGACTTAGTTGCTGGACATATCTCTTTTATCTTGTTCTAGTTATACGTACATGCAACCACCAAAAGGCTTGCAATTTTTTTTTATCATTCTGTTGTCCTACTTATTGAGTGATTTTCTATACACCACAAACGAATGTGGTGTACAGTCGAACAAATGTCGTTGAAGGTGTAAATTTAAAATTCTTCTAACT